AATGAAATCATAGTAATGAATAATCCAGCATTTATAGAAGAATACTTAGTAGATTTAATAACAGTGCTAGTTTAAAAAATTATATTGATATACAAATAGTAACTGAATATTGGATCTAACTTTGGTTCACAATGAAATCCATATAACATTATTGTTTACAAACTTATGCTTTAATATGAATGAACTTTGGGAATATGTAAGTGGTGCTAACATTAGACCCACCTAATAAATATAAGAAGACTGCATGAAGATAAAATGGCAATGAAAACAAATGAAGTTTGCTCAACCATAAATCATATTAATATAGTTTGAATTGACTATTGATGTTTACTACTGCTCTTGCAGTCACAACTGTTACAAATATAAAGCTGGAAAAGCTCCAATAAACTTTGGAATAAATTCAAAAATATATATCAAAGTAAAATACTTGCAAGAAAAGTGATATTATCAAAACAATTTCATCTCTAAAAAGATGGTGACATAAGTGATTAAAGTTCATTTCAAATGAAATCGGAAGGAATGTAAACAAAAACAACATCTTTCACTAATTTCATTAGGATGTAATCCTAATAAAACATAATATTCATTTCTTGCACACTTTTCATTTAAATCAACCCCATTTTATCACTTTTTTATTATAATATTATTATTATACATTAGCAAGCAAGCAGTTGAGACAACTGATAACACCTGTATCATGTTTATGCCCACTAGTTACTTCTATTGCAGTTCAGAAAATGGTTATATCCTGTTTATGCCCACTAGTTACTTCTATTGCAGTTCAGAAAATGGTTATCTAATCTATTTTTGAATTGGTTCACATTTTGGGCTGAGACTACGTTTTCTGGCAACTTATTCAACTCTGTGACTAGACAGTTACAAATGAAGTGCTTATGGGGGTTGTTGTTTGAGAAGCTGGTACATAGCTTAGGATGATGGTCCCTGAGGTGAGGGAATAAACAATTTGTCAAACTCCTCAACATTGTAATGTCCACAGAAGATCTTAAAGATTTCGATTAGACCTCCTCGGCCGTGCAGTTTTTTACAATTATTTAGTACTTAAATTATACAAAATGGATGTATTTATATTTGTGGATAAACTTACATTGCCTAGTGGTGAACAGCTTCAATAATCCACCAAGTTTTTTAATGGTAGAACCATGCCGCAGTTATAGTTGTAGCATGAATGGGTTGAATTGACAAGGGGAGGACCACACTCTCACAGAATACTAGTGTAATATAGCAGCTTAATGCTGCTGTGTTTTATATAGTATAGGTAAAAACCAGGTTGAGAGAACCAGAGACTCTTTTTACTGGAAACAAGGCATTCCATCACAATCCTCAGGGGTGACAACGCATCTGCATTTTGATTCTTAATTGAGGATAAATGTAGATGTCAATGGGCCCCAGCACCCACTTACCATCAGGTGGACTGTGGGCTCATTTGTCACTTACACACATTATTCTATTTAAAAAAGTGATTGCTTAGTTTGATGATGCCAACTTATAGGTATATAATTATTTTTAAGGTGTATTGGTGTACAATTGAGAATATATTTATTGATTGAAATGAAACATGCAAATGTTCTGATGTGGAATTTTACAGGCTAATGACTATTATTGTTTTAAAACCTATTGTTGAATTTGATTGATGGTGACAGTTAATTCATTCTGTGATTGGTATACTTGTAACACATGAGATACTAAGCACAATGCAAGAACTGTCTTATTTCAATTGTTTCCTACTAATTGGTATTTCCACCTGAGTACTCAAAATTATTTGTAACTTATCTGATGACATTTCCTGGGATTCTAGATGAATTACAATGCCTACTGGAAGTGTATCAACATATTAATATTTTGTTTTATAATCAAGGATATGTCCATTGTCTATATCTTATGTTGCTGTGTAATATCAGAATGCATCTAGCTCGGACCCAGTTGCTCTAAACAGTCATCATCGGTCTAGCACGAGATATCTATGTTTAATTACATTTTTCTGATTTTATTTGAAATGAACTTTAAATAAACAATTTCATAGATATAGTAGATAAACTAACAATATAAATGTAGATTTAAACAGAGATTACCATCTTTTAACTTTGAGACAATTTTATTTAATAAGTGAGAGAACCACGTTTTAAATGTTGTAGAACCACGCTGCAGCTACATCATGGTTGTAGCACAATGGATCGGCTCGACTGGGGAATGCCACGGTCTCACAGAATACCAGCGTAAAATAGCAGCTTAATGCTGCTGTTACGTATTGTGAGTGTAGAGAACCTGTGATCCATTATACTGGGATTGAGGCTATCCATCTTAGTCCTCAGATGTGACAACACATCTGCATTTTGATTCTTAATCAAGGTTAAATGTAGATGTCTATGCGCCACAGCATCCTTTACCATCAGGTGGACTGGGTGCTTGTTTGTTACACTTATGCTATATAAAAAAACTTATATTAAACAAAATTCATTGATCTATTCATTCATGACAGCCAATCTAAAGTCCACTGCTGAATGTTATGATAGAGGGTGTATGGTCGAATTGATTCACTGAATTGGTCATCTGTTTCACATCAACAGTACAAATAATTGATTATTTGAATAACCTTTCTGATTGTTAAACCCCTTTAAAAATTAATTTCTTTATATATATATATATGCACATAAAAATGTGGCTAAATTGCACATCAGAGTATTGCCATTACCTTTACAGCCAGCCAACTAAAGTCCACTGCTGAACATAGGTCTCTCCCATAGATTGCCTCATAGTGGGGATATTTTCCATAGTTGCCAGTTAAGCAACAAAAAGTTGATTTTTTGTACATCAATTAAGACCAAGATCACCATAAAAATTGTGCAGCAGGATACTAAAGCCATATTGATGCATCTTCAAAGGATGCGTCTATACATGGGTATAGGATATTGAGAGAAAAAGGACTAGAATATTTACAAAGAAAAATGGAAACAAACACTACATAAATAGGTACTTACTAAGGAACTACCAAAATCAAGACTAATCAAGCTGAACTTTTTTTGTCCTAATTTGGCAAACCAAAAATTAATTCTTCCAGTGTCAAGTATTTCATGACAATCACAAAATTTCTAACTAACTTTTGCTATGAAGCTTCCGTAGATGGGCTTTCTCTATGTGAATGAAGATAAGGTTACTTTCAGACTAATTTAAATTCATAGATAATTTTACAAAATTACCTAAGCAAGAAAAAAAAATATTCGTAAGTCACAAATATACTATATTTTCATGTTATTAATGGATATGCAATCAAATAGTTTGTACAAGAAGTATTAAAGTTAATGCAACAAACAGCTAAGAATTTCAGGATGGGGGATGTAATATAAAATAAGGGCTGTTAAAAATTTATAGTCTAAGATAGATTCTGTTTAGTCTGCAGTCACAAATTGATCACAACAAATCTCAAGTTGTGCCAAAAATATTTTTCACATATGTTCTGGTCTAATTCTTCATATAACTTATGTACCACTGCTAATTATAGCTTATATAGCACAGTTTATACTGAGAGCTAATCTAGAAATAAATTTCATTTCAGCAATGATTATTTTATAATAAAATATAGTAGTGACAGTTTTGTTTCTATGGGCTTTAACCCCTAAGGTACCGAGGACATGTTGACAGGTCCAAGTTTTGTGACCGCTAAGTACAGAGGACATGTATACATGTCCGCATTACGTGCTACTATTTTCGTCATTAGTTGATATAAAAATACAATATATTTTCGATTGAACACTATTTCATTCGATTCTGAACGAACTAAAGAATATTCTGTAGCATTATATTCACTCGGTTACATAGACATCATCAAATATAACAGCCATTCGCTTTTGCGTGCCGGTACGGTGGGTTGCGTAATCGTTGAAGTTTTGTGATTGTGATTTTAGTTGGATTTTCTTTCAAAACAACTGTAAGTAATGTTATTTATCTTTACTACGTAATGTTTTTGAATGATCTAATTTACAACAACAGTAACTTTTTATGTTTCAATTGATAAAAAAGTAGAAACAAAAAACCTCTATGTGAACAATTCATAACGGTCAAGATTTCTAATAAGATAATAATAGTATATTTCTTATTCGAATACCATAGTAAATACTTTTACTAGGAATTGCTAAATGTTATATCTATATGATTGTATAAGAAAAATAAAGGAAGACAAAAGGTTTTGAAGATGAGGTTACAAAGGTGCAATGTCTATTGTCGAATTTTTAGCAAATGTTAGCAAGTGAAAAAGTAGAATTATTATAATTATTACATGCATAATTTTGATTCATTTAGGAAGAATATGTTGTATTGATTGTAAGGACATAAAAGTAAAATAAAAACTTATGATATATCATTCATAAAACAAAATTTATTGTCAGTAAGTACACTTTATAAAGATCAGTTAGAAACAAAGAGCTGTACATAATAAAATAAACATTTAAATGTTATGGTTATTGTTTCTACTTATCGAGCTTTAAATAACTGTAACTAAAACCTCTTTAAACATAAATGAAAGGTCGTGAGAAACATAAATATTTAAAACAAGTGCTGCCAGCTGAGGTGATGACAGAGGCCGCCGTACAAAGCTGTTTTTTGTTATATGGCGGGCGCAGTAAGGGAAAGGTTAAAAGATGTCTTGTGAAAACAGTATTATTTATGTTAAAAGTTCCTAATAAAAATAAAAATTCTATCTGCAATTGTCTTCGTAGTTCGCATTTATATGAAAGAAACCAATATCTAATACTAGAAAATGAATTTAAAGAAAACAATAATTCTTAACGAAATTTAAAATGTGTTTTCTTAAAAAGAGTATGCTTATGAGTACAAATTTATTTCTTTATAAGCAAATTAAACCATATTATGACTGCAAGCGTAAAACAATGTTGTGGTAGTGAATGTGTGTAAAAACAGATGTCAGACTATATATTTTCAATAAGCAAATGCCTCATATAAGGAATGTGTTGCGATAAAAGACTTACGGGGTCTAGGTTTCCGGCCTGCAGACTTAGGTGTCCCGAGACCACCTTGGTTTTGTAAACCACCATCTCTCCGTGTACGCATTTCATTTTGTAAGCGTTCTTGCAAACCTTTCAGTCTTCCTTCTATTGAACTATTGGACATAGTAATAAGATAAATTGTCCACTGATCACATTTAAGTACCTTAATCTAAACATCTATTAAATTATTAACACAAAACTTGTTGAAAAAACTGCAGTCAACATTAGCAGTCCAAAGATTTTATTCAATTCTTAAATTTCCATAAATCCAATTTCAATCAAATCAATCCATAGACAAGCTAACAATCCACATAGACGCATAGATAAATAAATATGTAGCAAGCTAACATCATAGATAAGTAAATAACTTATATGGAGGGAGCACTGTGTGAGCAGAAAGCGTGATCGGCGTAGAGAGAGAGAGAGAGACTGAGTTTAGGTAGAGTCTGTCTCTCTCGCATAGTCATTGTCATTGGCTGTTTCATTGGGCATGCGCTCGCGCGATGCAACGGTGGAAAACACGCCAGCCAATCAGAAGCATGTGCGAGAGAGACAGACTACCTAAACCTTAGAGCACCGATCACGCTTTCTGCTCACACAGTGCTCCCTCCATGTGAAACTCATGGAGTATAGAGTGTAGAAGTATAGAGTACAGACTGTGTATTCAAAAGTGTTCATAAAAACCGTTAAATAAGGGTGGCGCTAATATAGCTACGGGCTAAATTTTAAAGAACGTGCCGAAAAATATAAGTGGGATAGACGACTTTTTCAAAGTTATATTTACTATATAAAATTATTTTAGATTTTAGATCTACTGAGCAGTTTAGCAGCACACTTTAAACCGTTGACAACTGCTAAGTTCATTTCATCCCAGTACCTACGACAGCGCTGTTGTGTAGAGTTTTTGAGCTGTTATTTACTGCTTACAGATGGCCACTAGTTTGAAATAAAATAAAATATAATTCAAAGAAAAAAGAAGAAAACGGAAATATTAATGTAAATTATTTTAATTAGTCTCAATAAAAGTGGGCTGTAGTGCGCTAGTTTGAAATGAACATAATATAATTCAAGGAATGAAAACGAAAATGACAAAATTAATATTATTTATCAATAAATAAATTATACATTAGGTTTTTTATAATTTTAATTATTATAAATATTACAAATTATTACAAACATTAATTATTATTGATTTATTATGATTATTTATTTATTACATTATTTCACCATTTTTTAATGTTTCTTTTTGTCAATAATTAAAAAATTACTTCGCAGATACTACTTTCTGACGGCAGCGCAGCTATAAATTCTACAAATTATCAGGGACAGATGAGCTATGTTTTAGGATGTAGCGATCCTTCTCTAACCTCCATGAGATCTATGATTGAAACTTAGATAGAGTCTATGGTAGATAGTAGTATATCACAAACGTATACAGAGAAACCCAATCACAAATTGACGCCTTCTTTCGCATTCGCACACGAAAGAGATAGATTTATACATACGTCCTGCAATGAAATGAGACAGAGCGGTGCGATTGTTTGTCCCTTTCTCCGTGCCGGTTTTTTTTCAACCGGTCAAAGTTGTTTAGCAAACTACAGTTTGCTAAACAACTTTGACAGTTCATAAAGATCTAAGGAGTTTACAAGTTGTTTTAAGTGAAAAAATGTTTTGTGAGCTTAAGGTTGGTGAATCTTGTTCAGTTCAGTTCCTAGAATAATTAAATTTTTTATTTAAATATGTTTAAAAGTCATAAAGATTATTGTATAACTTAAAACTACGTTATAATCCTTTCTCACACGAGGACACGCTAATCATTAGTCTATAGGTTTCTCTGTCAACGATCACAAGCTAATAAGAGTACTAACGTAGTCTATGACCATCCATCACTGACCACCTTAGACCATTCACCCAATGGACGAGTAATGCGACTAATGCTACGAACAAAAAATTCTGTCGCTTTTGGTACGGGGAAGGAAACACTACATAGACAGTATTGCATACCTACTCAATAAAATTTTGTGTCATTATCATCATCATCATCATCATTACAGCCCTTCACAAATCCACTGCTTAACATATGCCTCCCCCAATTAATGCCACAAAGCACGGTCCTGAGCCACCTGCATCCATTGACGTCCTGCATGTCTTACCAGGTCGTCACTCAATCTAGTGGGAGTCCCCTACACTTCGCCTACCGGTACGAGGCTGCCACTCGAGAACCTTTTTTCCCCAACGGTTGTCGGTTCTTCGAGCTATATGGCAAGCCCATTGCCACTTCAGCTTACTAATCCGTTGGGCTATGACGGTCACTCTGGATCTACTGCGGATATCCTCATTTCTAAATTTATCACGCAGAGAAACCCCGAGCATAGCCCTCTCCATAGCTCGCTGAGCAAGTTTGAGTGTCCTCATACGGCCAGCAGTGAAGGACCACGTCTCGGTTCCATAGGTTATCACTGGCATCACGCACTGGTACTGGTACAACCATTTAGTTTTCAGGTTTTGAGGTATACCTGACGAGATGTGTCATAATTTCCCAAACGTTGCCCAGCCGAGTTGAATCAGTCTGTAATAGATGTTAAGGTCCACTTTCGTTTGTAAGAATTTGTGGTCACAGAAAGACGTGTTTACTACATGATGATTTATTTGCAACTGATTGAACAAATTATGCTTTTATATATTGAGCCTATTTACACATGAATACGTATTCACACTTACGCTCGCTCTTACACTGGTATAGATCATTCTATCCGAAGAAGGACGATTGACCTCTCGGTAGAAGTTGGACTTACCTAGTTGGACTATTTGTCCCAGGTATGCGTACTCGTAACAACTTCGAGCTTAGTGCTCCCAACCACTACGGGCATAGGTGTGATATGGACATTAAACATGATCTTTGTTTTGTCCATGTTCATCTTAAGACCTATACGTTGGGAGGCACTATTGAAGTCGTTGAGCATAGTTCTTAAGTCCTCCAGCGATTCTGCCAAAAAGAATATATCGTCAGCAAATCGAAGGTGAGTGATGTACTCGCTATTGATGTTATAGTCCGGCCGCTGAGTTATTACCGATTTGACACATGACGAATTGACAATACTAGTGAAGTGACTGAACCAGTAACCCTAATATCATTTGGGAACAGTTTGTTTTTAAATATTCTAGTATAGTGTGTAATTAAATAAAATCAAAACAGTAATAGTTAAAGACACAGGTTCTTTATTAGGTGGAGTATCCTTGATGGGCGTAGATAATTGGTCGAGGACATATCAAAATAAAACAAATTTGTAAACACTGTTACACATTTTAATGAATAGAGTAGGTACAAGATGTTTTAATAAATGACTACCTATCATTTATTAAAACAATTATTCAGACTCTGAACCAGATTCGCCAGAGCTGTCATCGCTATCAGTCACTTGTATGACAATTTCATTTTCTATAATGGTGTCCACTCCTATATCGCGTTCATAATCTTCTGTTATTAGTTTTCGAGTCTTTTCGACGACCTTGACCCAATCTTCTTTCGTTATTTTGCTGCAAGCATCTTTTAATAGACCCATCATTTTATTAGTACTGAATGGCGGAGTCGTATTATTACGAGCTGCGTAACCTGTAATGTAAACATCAAATAACGTTAATTTATTACATTAAATAAACGAAATGTTACACAATTACCTACATGTAAGGGACATGAGATATTTATTTCTTAGTTATGTATCTTTTTACTTATATTCTGAATATTAGATGTTATAATAGTAAAAATTATTCATATTCATAATTTATGCGATAAAAAACAATACCTTTGATTTGTGCCCATATTAGCTCAATGGCATTGTACTAGCAGTGATAAGGCGGAATTCGAAGTACCCGATGTCCATGTGCTAGAGCTATTTCATCTACTTCATAACGGACTCTTGATGTTTTATTTTCGCGTACCAACTTTACTAAGTCAGACTTTAGCATTTCGGCAGTAGTTTCAATTCCATTTTGGTGTAGCCATGCTACGAGATCAGCTTTCTTGTCGGCCTGAGTAGGCGCTTTATTCACTTGTTTCGAGTGATATGAAGCGTTGTCCATTATTATGATAGAAGGCTCTGGCAGGCTGGGTAATAATTGATTTTCGAACCAATTCGTAAAAGTGTCTGTATCCATCTCCTCATGGTAATCGGAAGTACTTTTTGACGCGAAAGCCAGCAGTTCATTTTCAAAGAAACCACTTCCAGCAGAACCGGCGTGACAAATTATCAGTCGCGATCCTTTTCCAATTGGAACCTTTGAGGTTGATGCTTTTGTTTCGTCAGTCCAAGAGCGTGACACAGTGTGGTTCGCATTTAACCATGTTTCGTCAACAAAAACGACGTTGTCCCAAGACTCGATTTTTCTAGCTTATCTTAAAAACTCGCTCCTTTTTAATTATTAAATCAAATCTTTCCATTAATATTTTCCTTTTATTCGTTTTTTTATATTCAAACCCAATTTCGTGCAATAGTTTTGACAACGCCGTTTTACCGCCTTTAAACAAGCCAGCTTCTTTTAAAGAGACCAAAAGCAAACGTCTAGTTGGAAACTCGTTCCTAGTATAATAACCATATATGTGGTTTCTTATTGCATCTGCATCAAAAACATCAACACCTGTCACGGGCTTTTCGGGTTACGGTCTTCGTTTTTTCTTAGGAGTGCGTAAAACATTATCTTCACTTCCAGAAGCACCATATTTTTCTTTATTTATATTATATAGTGTTTTTGCACCAATTCCAAGAGCTTGTGAAACCCGATCTTTCACTTGAGTGACAGGAATCAAAGGGCCGCCATTTTGTGATTCACGCTCAAAGTAATCCGTAGCTTTAGTACAAGCTCACGACATTGACTATTCAATGTTTTTCCTCGTTTCGGCATTTTCAACAAAATTACCAAACACAAACAAAATTAGTCCAATAAAGCGCAACGATAAACAGGAGAAAGCCGAGTCAAAAAACAACGGTTACACAAGAGAACGTAGTCTGTGCGCACGAGAGTACGGAAGACGACTAAACAGATTAAAATAGCGGTGGTAAGGGTGTTGCCAGAATAGTATCGCCAATTACTTATAAAAATACACCTATAACATTGCTTATTTGAGGG